CCTCCTCCCCTCCTATTAAACATGATGCACAGAAAACAAGCCATTCGCATTGTACTTGTCCCCAACAACAAATGATCATGTTTCAGGCTATTCCCGATCGACGTCGTCCACTAACTACATACCGTGCACGCACACCATTGGCCATGGTAACGGCACCATATCACACGAATATCCAGTACAGACTAGAAGATCAACCATTCCGTAAATACGACGTATTTGGTCTACGCACATGGAGCTATCCCATATACAAGTATGCAATTCTATTGACATATCTAACGATCACTGGACGTAATGATATTGATCAAAAACCATCCTAGGTACATATATGGACGAGAACAAGACTATCGGAGACCGTACTCGTACAACTTCAACAGAATGTATGGCACGACATCACTCTACACACCACCGCAATTGACACCTGAAAGTCGGCCCATAACAACGCGACGAGGGTAGGTTAGACGAGTTTGCATGTATGAACGGAGATTTTTTGGATTGGTAAGAGAAGTCTGTGTGTGGTCAAAAAGCAGCGATTTGTGCGCGAAATATTTGGATGTCCTATAATTTCTTTCCGATTCCAACATTAAAATCAATGTATAGGGCCCTACATGATCGCGAGAGTCGACAAGTTTGCGGTCATTGCTCACGCACGATGCCACAAAGCTTTAAACCACTAGAACAACTCCAGTACTTTCCAGAATCGCTTCAGCTATATGAAAGCTGACATTGGTAGCAAAAAAACGTTTGAAAGGAGAAAAAGAGAGGAATTCTGAGCTAGCAATGACGGCAGACATACCTACTCTCAGAATCACGCAAAGCTTTGTATGTTGACAGCGAGAGCACCCAAAACGGTACAAATATGTTTGTACTCTCGAAGCATGGATTATATAATTACATGTGTGGGAGGAAGCGATGAGCATCAGAAGCGAAGTTTGCCATTTTATCCCAATCAGTCTTTTTACATGTCTGTGAAAGAAAAATATACGGAAAGTGAATGATAAAGTTTTTGATGTGCCAAGTATTTGTTTGAGTAAATTGGGGATTCTGTAGGATGTATGAGGGTGATACATTGATTGAATCTGAACTCCGTCGAAAACTACATAATATGGCTAAAACTATAAATGAAATGCAGTTCAGGCAAATGCTTGGTGACTCTTGTAGACCTTTTGCTCTATCGTAAGGTAATCAAGCTGCTCTCATTTGAGGGATGAAATACAATAATTACCCTTTTTCACCTCTGACAACTCATTTATGCTAAGACTTTACAAAACTGTATGTTCTGAATTTGATTCAGAAAATAGTCATTCGATCTCTAATCAAATCTTTGATGTTTACAGTAACACCGGTGACCAAACTGCTAATACTACACAATTTATTCTTTTTAGGTATTCCGGCTATACATACTTAGCCAACGAATCAAACTACGATATAGCAAGTCAACCAAGAAGCTTGAAGAATTACATGTACACAAGAACATATGTGGGGACAGTGTAAGTTTTTTTATTAGTCAGCTTAAATCTGGATATGCAAACTAGGAAGCATTCTGATCGTCTTTTCATTGTGAACAGCTGTTTACTGTCAGCTTAGTTGATAACATGATATAAGCTGTGGTATGTTAGTACCCTATGACGCTATTTACATCGTGTGATATGTGGATGAGCAGGTAGTGATGATAGAAGCGATTAGCCGAGTGGAGCATTTGTTGGCAGTCCAAAGAGTTTCTTCATTCAGTGAGGTCCTGCAAAGCAATAGCTTACGTGCAAAAGCTTAAATTGTCTTCTATGATGTTACAGCGTCACCATAACTCTTCGTTATGATTATAATCTCGTTATAATCTCGCCCTTCCAGATCAGCACCATCGAGCTGGTCATACTACGGCAACAGTTCGTTGCGCCATTTCAATAGCTACCGTCCAAATATCTACACACCATCAACAGCTACCTGGCAACGATACTATTGATGCTTTCTGTGCAATTTTTTTTCATTTTCTCGCATTTTCGCATTGTTTCATTACGCTTTATACTTTTGTTTAAATTCTATGCTTTAGTCATTTAGCGTCTTTTATGCAAATTGTTGTGTATATGGAACTGCCGCCACGTCATCAGTCATTTGACTGCCTTGATAAATTTCACTCAATCAAAGCGTGCTTGTGCAGACTTTGGATGAAGTCCCAGTGCCCACCCCTGCGCTCTGGTGGGAAAGCCACGCCTTCCGCATGTATTCGCAGGACTGATCGCTTATTCCTCGTTCAGCTGCCAAGTGAACATATTTTATACATATATTTTTTACAAACTTTGTAAAGCTTTTGATTTGTGTAATTAATCAATAACGATGTACAAAGACGATCGATATACATTTTTTGCACTTGCTCATTATTTTGTTAGGATGAAATGCAGCTTGGTGTTGAATGCTCTGATTTTATGTCAATAAAGTTCCGCCAACGAGAACTAATCATAGGCTCTGGTCAACTTGCTAAGTATTACGTTGAAGATCTTGTTGAGGTGTCTTCAAACAATTAATAAATGAGATGCCTATCACTAAGAGGTGCAAAAGTCCAGATATATGACCGGAAGCGAGAATTGCCAGAGTACCTGGATTAAGAGCAAGAAAAGTGCACGAAACAGAAAACTTCTCGGGAGTTTTGATTAGAGCGACTATGAGCGTTCAGCAATCAGCCCTCTGCAAATTTAATTCTCCAACAAAATGACGAGCGAGTAAACCATTGATGAGGTGGAGTGAATAATGAGAAGCCTATGTGAAAAGAGATTCAATAAAAATTTTTGTACCAATGTTCCCATAGATCGACAATCTGCAACATAATGATTAATGCGCGCTGTACATGCAGACTTAACGGGAGTAACAGTTCAGTATCGCAAGGAATGTGCCAAGATCAACAGATGAACCACCATGATAGAGTATCTCGAAGAAGTCATTTGAATGAGAGTTTGGAATGAATTTCATCATAAAACATGACAAAATTAACTTCAACCGAAGAGATCGGGATGGAACGACTACCGCATGGGCTTGTGAATGAAATTGATAAAAACTACATGACTACATTAGCCATCTAAGTGGATGTACCAGAGAAGATGAGATAAAAATATAGGTTTGCAGGGTGGATATTGAAAACAAACAGTATGATCCTTGAGAGTTGAAAGAACGGCAAGCTCTAGAAAATTGTAAAATAGACTAAAAGACCTATCAAAAGAATAGGGAAGTGAAATATAGGCAGCGAGTACTAGCACTTTCTCCGTGCTCACCTTATGCTCCCGATATCAGGAGCAATAACAGAAGCTCCCATTTAATTTTCTTTCAGGTAAGTTCATTAGGACGAATAATTTGCACTGTGTATATGGCGTCCTAATTTTATATGGTAACGATCTTTTTTGAATTGTCATTCCAAGAGAAGAGAGTGAGTGACTGGCTCTTCGACTACTACACCGTTATAATCCTATGCATCCAGTAGACAGCCTAGTGAGCTGATGGCAGCATATTAACAGAGTTTAGCAAACCGATCGCTGATTGCCGTGCGCCAATGCATGATTATGCAAAATAGTGCGTTTGGTGTCAGTACGTGGACACCAGGAACGGCCGTCCGAGGCGGGTGACAAACAAACGCGGTTTGCAGTTTGCAACTGCACCATCTTCGTCCAAGAGAAAATGGAACGTCTTACACATAGTCGAGTGTTTGCGTTATCACCTAGGGGAGTCGAATTCCTCTGTTCCCTTTTTGCGGCGCTCTAGGCGTGCCCTTGGGCAACCGTCTCTAGAGCAACTAGCACTAGGAGTTTAGATTGAGCGCATTGAGGGTTCACAAGCCCGCAGCTCCAGTATTCCAGCAGTGCGGTTTCGCTGAAGGCAAGCCTTGTCTTGTGTCGCGCAAAACAGTGACGGCCAAGGACCATTC